TTGATTTGATGCATGCAAGGTTAAAGTCGATTAAATTAATCAAGCCATTTTGGAACTTTCAGAGATTTAGGATCTTGAGCAAACATTTTTATTATTATCATTCTTTCTTTTGTAATAGATATGCACATCTCAGCATATCTAACACAGCTAGAACATTCTGGCAGCATCTACTATATGCAAATGACTTCTTTGTATTTGATTCCATCTCTTGAACCAGAAGTAATGGGTGGGCTTCTCTGATGACGTGTGTTCCTTAGTATAATTCCAAGGAACTATAATAGGTATTCTTTTAAAGTAAGGGGCTGCCGTTCCAATGGTTCGGAGACCCTCAGTGGGAGTAGCGGCCACTTTTCAAGGCTGTGTGCTGTTTTGTTTAGCTTTACCCTAATCTGTCTGAGACAGCTTTAAGAGATTGGTAGGTGACGCTAAATCAACCCCGTTAAGGAGCTGTGCCCCCCTCCCACCCTCAGAGAGATCCCAAGAAAACTTTGCACCTCTTCAGGAAGGGTTATAAATAGGGCCCATCTGTCCAGGGGCTAAGTTACAATCCCATTCCTTAAGGAATTAGTAAGGAGTGAGGAGGGTGTGTGATACTTTTAGTCATGGGGACTCACATCAGAACCCTATGCAGAATCTGTGACCTCCATGAGTAAGAGTGCTTCTGCTCTGCCTTAAGGTTGTCTGAAAATAACGCGTCACTTCCTGCTCTGTTCTTAAGACAGCAGCACCATGTTTCATTCACCCAGTGCAGTTTGTCCTTTAGTGTCTCTTGAATCTACATTATTCACACTATTTTATATGCAGGATGTGAGAAAATATAGACAATTGCATACTTGTCTGTTAGAAGTCAGAAGTTATTTGTGAAGGATAAATGTGTTTTTTGGTTGAGTGTTTAAGGTCCAAACTCAGCTTTAAGGCTGCCAGAGGAATTTTTGATTGGGTTACACTTTTGTGTCACATTCAATGTGACATCATGTGAATATTATACATTTTCCTGTCCCAGATAGGGAGTGACAATAAAAGAGAAAGCTTCACCTCTGAATAGTTTCAATGTGTTGTTAGCTGATATTGTAAGCCAGTACTGTTTCAGAGTCACGTTCATTCAAGATAACACATTAAGAAGTATTGCTATGGGATTGATGTGTAGTTGTTTATTTTGGGGGTATATAAAATATGATCATCCCATTTCTGTTTCTTAATGTTATAAGACACCTGTGACTAATGCCTAAAATTTTTAGACAGAAAAGACACTGTACAAATCAGTTGGACTTTACGTGTCTCTTGCATAAAGTCACACTGATGCATACTTCATGTTGTATTGTCCAATTAGCAAAATTATATTTATAGGCTAAGATCTGAAATTATTCCACATACAAAAGTGCAAGGATTTAACCAAAAATAATACAAACAAATCATGTTAAGTCACTGCATGTTATTTATCAGGTGGAAAATAATGTACTATCGAAGAAAACCATTGTTATTTCCTTGGCCACAAATGGTGAAGTGACCTTTTCACCTTTCTCCTCCCTCACGGTTGGCACGTCCTCCCGCGTTGCGCTCTCGAAAAGATACTAAATTGATCCAGAGATGTGCGTCACCTAGGCATGACACCATGCAGGCTTTTTACTTTGTGATGATGGGCATAAGCTTATAGCTTTGTTTAGTTTGAGGAGAGTCAGATGGGAATGTGTTCACATCTGAGTTGGAGAAGCATGCTTATGGTGGTTAGGATTTTTATCGATGCAACTCTGTCTCAGGTTGCAGTGGAAAACAGGATATCTTTGTGCTGATCACATGATACACAGAAAAAATATGATTGAATGACGTAAAACGAGTCACATGTGTTATTATTGGTTCATGTTCATGTACAGTTCAACTCAAAGGATAACTTTTGTGATATATTTAAACATTCTTAAAGGGATAGTCCACTAAACGATTTAAACTCTGTCATAATTTACTCACCCTCATGTTGTTCCAAACCAAATATTTTGAAGAATGTTTGGTAACCAAACAGTTTGGCAACCCACTATTGACTCAAAAAATATAATGGGAACCGATACGTTTTGGTATTGCATTCACTTGAAGAAAAAAAAATCTACTCTGTTTTTCTGAATTAACGAGTTAATTTTTCATGAGAAAAAAAAATTGCTCTGTTTTTCTGAATTAATGAGTTAATTTTTCATGAGAAAAAAAATATTTTGCTCTGTTTTTCTGAATTAATGAGTTAATTTTTTCATGAGAAAAAAATTTTTTGCTCTGTTTTTCTGAATGAATGAGTTCATTTTTCATGAGAAAAAACGTTTTTGCTCTGTTTTTCTGAATTAATGAGTTAATTTTTCGTGAGAAAAAAAGTTTTAGAAAAACAGAGCAAAAAAAAAAAATCCATGAAAAATTAACTCGTTAATTCAGAAAAACAGAGCACAAAAAAAACATGAAAAATTAACTCGTTATTTCAGAAAAACAGAGCAAAATATTTTTTTCTCATGAAAAATTAACTCATTAATTTCAGAAAAACACATGCAGCAAAAAAAAAATTTCCATGAAAAATTAACTCGTTAATTCAGAAAATCAGAGCAAAAACTTTTTTTCTCATGAAAAATTAACTCATTAATTCAGAAAAACCGAGCAATTTTTTTTTTCTCATGAAAAATTAACTCGTTAATTCAGAAAAACTTTTTTTCTTCAAGTGAATGCAATACGCCTCCGTATTTTGGTTACCATCTTTCCACAAAATGTTTTCTTTTGTTTTCCACAGAAGAAACCAACTCATACAGGTTTGGAACAACATGAGGGTATGTAAATGATGAAAAGAGAACATTTATTTTTGGGTGGACTATCCCTATAAGCACCTTCAAGGCCAAACAACAAACCTGGTTCCAACAAACCTGACACATCTTTGGACATGTTGAGTCTTCCATCAAACTTGATGACTCCTCCCCATCCCCACCAACCTTATCAAATAACTAAGCTGGCTAAAAGTGAGTTAGCCGGTAAAATCATTAAGGGTTGAGGGGGGTTTTGGTTCTGGTGGGCGGGTGGATGGATGGTACGGGAGGGGGGAAGGTTCTTAGAGAAGGTGCAGGGGGTGGCAGGGGTGAGCTCTGATGACAGCTGGGGGGATACAAAGAAAGGGTCCAAGGGGTTGAGAAGGGTGAATGAATATCTTGCGTCTGTACGTTAATGGCCCTCCTCTGGGGGTGGGGAAAGGGCCAGCGAGACATATTTAGATGAGAGAGAAGGAGAAAAAAAATCATCTGTGCGCTTTGTGAGGTAACGGGCATCAGCAGCTGTAGTCTCCTTAAGACTTCCAGACTCCAATAACTCCCTTTCCCAAGAGTCCAGGCTGAGATGAACAAAGACTGTTTAGTCACTCACTGTCACTATCAGCTTTCATTCACTTCACAGTTTTATTTCTCTCTGTCTCTCGTCATTTCTCATACTGTCTGCACTTTGCTCGCACACATGATGAGGGACACTGACGCATTTGGATGCTGGAGAAGTTCCATGTCTTAGACAAACATCTCTCCCTCTAGTCAGATGACTCTTAGAAAAGCCCTGGGCTTCTAGCATGGAAGGTCAGTCTGGAACACAATTTGTGTACATTAAAATCGATTTACATGTCCATTTTATTTTATTTTTTTCCCCTTTTATATTCATTATCAGACATCATAGATTGAAATATGTGTCCAGGACACACCCATATGGATTTACCTTACTCTTTAAAATCTTGTCCTGCAGAGAAGAATTCTATTTCTATTAAAAACCTTCCACAACAGAATAGAACTATAAGGGAATAATATGTAGCAATCGAAAAAAGTTAAATAAACAAAACGTACATGTTCTATATCTTATTATAGGCCTATCTCTTTTTTTTTTATTTCAACAAAGTAGCCACATTTTCTCTCATTAAATTTGTTAACTTTCATTGAAATGACAACACACCAGCACACTTTCATTTATTTTGGTGAAAGTGGTAACATTCTAGCCACCTGTTCTGGTATTTTTAGCCATAATCTGGTGCCATTCTCATACACATTCTTTGAAACATTATTGTGAGGATGTAAGCATTAGTAAAAATAGGGTAACACTTTACAATAAGGTTCATTGGTTAACATTAGTTAACTACGTAAGTTAACAAGAAATTATAACGAACTGCACTTACACAGCATGTATTCATCTTTGTTAATTTCAACATTTACCAAAACAAATCTTGTTAATGTACTGAACTAACATGAACAAACAATGAAAAGCTTTATTTTTATTAACTAACATTAACAAAGATTAAAAAAAAAAGAGCAACAAATATATTGCTCATGGTGAGTTCATGTTAGTTAACTAATGTTAACTAATGAACCTTATTGTAAAGTGATTTAGCCTACCAAAAAATATTGATGTTGCCATTATTAATCTATGTGTATAGGCTAGCAAGTATGCTACACTATAAAAAAAGTTTCTGTATACATTGGTAACATTTAAAGTTAATAAACATAGGCTACGTAAATAATATGTGATTTATTATCTGTAATAAAGATAACGACAGTGTTTTCACAATCAACTTCCGCCGGATTGCTGGAGTGTCTCGCTGAATTGGTTACATCCTCACGACCACCATTTCATTTACACATTCTACAGTTTCACATTCACATTTCCCTCCATAGATTCACGACGAAACGAAAGTCATATTAAATATAGGCTATATTAAAAAATATATATATATATATCTTATAAAAAGTCTCCATTAAAAAGACGGTCGGGGTAGGCCTTTCACTCCCCACGAGCCTTAATCCTTTCTCAAGAAGATTCGCAGGTTGATGTCTGCCTAAAGTTGAAATGAGATTTAAGACCCTCACCCTTTTTTTCCCGTGACCGCGCTTCGCCCCATTCTCCATTTGGGGCGCGCGAGCCCTCCCCTCTGTGGCCGACGACCCAATCCGCTTGAGCATCAGTATGACATCAACTCTGAAGTACATCATACGTGGTATATAAACATCTATGCTTACCTTGAGAATGCTGAGTATCCTCCAAGCTGTGGTCCACTCCCTTTACTAACTTCCTTCCCGGCGGAAAAATAGACTAGGAAAAATGGCACCTAAGAAGGACGCTAAGAAGCCCGATCCCCCCAAGGCCGCTGCTCCCGCGCCCGCGCCCGCACCCGAACCCGAGGCCCCACCTCCACCCGCAGGAGTGGATCTGTCCGCTGTGAAGGTAACGACCATTCCTGTCAGATCAAACAGACAGATTCTCATTGAAAAGATCGTTCCACTGCTCACACTTTACAGAGACATTTGAAGTAATAGCTGGCATTGAAATATGCAGTTTTGTTATAGCATTTGATTTTTTTTTTTTTTTAAATAAATTACAAATCAGACATTTTAAGTAGCTGTGTCATGAATACTGATTTGGTCAATACATATTTTCCACCTATTACATCAATTTGCTTTTAATTAAGCAATACATCCATAATACCAGTATTCTGACGTCATCATTTAGCTTAATTCTGAAAAGGATGCATTTACACTTTCATTATGTAGCCTACATAACTACACTGTCATAAAAGTTTGTTGCTTTTTTCAGTTTGCATTACCTGCTTATTTGTTTGGCATATTAAACTGTTTGTTAATGCTCATAATGAGTCATTATAAGCATTTGCCTAAGGTTGCTCTATTGCCGGATGACCACTGGAAATATTATTGGCGGATTCAGCACCACGGATAGTTCCGAATAACTTTTGGGGGTTTTTCCTGCATAACTACAATCAAACGTCACACCCCTTTTCTGATTGGCCCAGATAGCCAAACGTGGAGAAGTTTCACATGCCCAAACATGGAGCTTCTTAATGTTCTGTAAGCAGCTGAGCTACTAAATTAAGCATGCCAAGATCCTGCTCTCACTCTTCAGTGTTCAATCAAAGCAGCTGTTTGTGAATGACTCACCTGTCATAACGGTGTTAGTGATGTGATGGATTTTCTCAGGTCTTGAAAATCATTCCTATGCACATATTCTCCCTGATTTATGTAGTGGAAATTTGCATTGCTGATTATTATTTTACGATAGCACCTTGCTTCGACCTGATATTTACCATTCCTCATCTTATTTTCCTTTCATATTCTGACTGATTAATACGATGCTAATGATACTATAGAATAAACATTACAATATAAAATTAGAACAGATCATATGTAATGTAAACATAAGTCTATTACTTTGTTTAAACTGATTTAAACTGGTTTGATTTGTAATTTATACATTCTTAAAAATGCTGGGTTGTTTCAACCCAAACTTGGGTCAAATATGGACAATCCCAAATGTTGGGTGAAAAATGTAATTTTCAACTTTGCAACTTTCACTTTCAACTATAACATTTTTAATTACATTTTAACCCAACATTTGGGTTTGTCCAAATTTGACCCAAATTTGGCTTGAAACAACCCAGCATTTTTTAGAGTAAAAGGGCACATCGATCTGTACTTTTGTATGGAAATATTCTGGAATGGAACAAAATGAATTGTACCTCTAATTTCCTCATATTACTTATATTAAGAAAATGTCTGCATTGAGGATATGGGAAGGCTTTATAATACCTTTAATAATACATTTTGCATAACTACACTTATGTAATGTTAAACAGATTCAAATGCAGCCATTATGAATGTTTGATGTACATGTACATTGCCTACTGATCTGCATATTATATTACATTTGTCGATGACTTATGGATATGTACCTCTGTTTTCCTGCAGGTTGATTTCACCCCGGACCAGATGGAAGGTGAGATCTGGATTCCACGACTGTTGCTCACACCTGTTTATGAGTTAACATGGAATGTGGTGATTAAAATAATTAAAAATACATATAAGAAGGATTATTAGATATTAAATATTCTATTTAAAGTCAACTATTTATAATCTGGCCGGAATTTATTGACACCAGTGATATTATTTCAAAAGCTTAGCACATTTTAAGTGGTTTGAAGTAAGCAACTTGAGTCAAATTCCCAAAGTGTTTTGGGGTTTACTTCTCTTGTGCCATAAAGGTCAAGCAATTCAATGCAGTTAATTCGCACTATTGTTCAATGCTGCATTTTACGTAGCCGTTTATGTGGCCATTGCCCTGCGATGGGCAGCTTTCGGCAGCCTGGGTGTGGGTTACACCTCAGTCAGCATTCTGGCCTCACATGGTCCTGCCTTTATATGGAGGGAGTTATATTCTTGGGAGAGCATATCCATTCCAGGTCAAATCTTTGAATGTCTCCCCCTGCTCCTGTCACGTCGTTGCTGGCAGCTGGCTTTTTGTGGAAATCAGATGAAGCTATTAATCTTTTAGCAGATCATATTCCACTGAGCTAATAGCCAGGATGCCCATAGAAATACTGATTATTACTCAGTCTGCTCATCTTTGGTTATCTGTTAAATCAATTTCAACTGTTAAATCTGTTCAAACAAAGGAGAAACCCACAAATTTAAAGGTAGTGGTTACCTGGTGTTTTGTAAGCACCTGTTAGCTTGAGAGATCTAAATAAAATGCATCATTTTGATGGCCATCCTCATTGTAGATGCCTATTCATTTTCTTAAAAAATGTTATAAGCAAAACTAAATCTCTTAGACTATAACCTGACATGCAACTTCGTCTTAAAGGAGTAGTTCACTTTTGAAAAAACTTTTGCTGATTATAACTTTTACTCACCCCCATGTCATCCAAGATGTCCATGTCTTTCTTCAGTCGAAAAGAAATGAAGGTTTTTGATGAAAGCATTCCAGGATTTTTCTCCATATAATGGACTTCAATGGGAACCAAACGGTTCAAGGTCCAAAAGACAGTTTCAGTGCAAACTGTTGAAAAGGCTTTAAATGATTCCAGACGATGAATAAGGGTCTTATCAAGCAAAATGATCGCTCATTTAATAAATAAATAACAAAGTTTAAGTTGTAAAAGCTCAAATGCTCGCCTATTGTGACGCACGTTCGTGACTCTCCTGTTCGAACTCGTTCATCAAAATGAACGAATCTTTTTCCGAGTCATTTGGTTCATTCAACGAACGAAGCGAAAGATTTGAGCTTTTTTTTTAAAAAATTAGTTTGCACTGAAACTGTCATTTGGACCTTGAACCGTTTGGTTCCCATTGAAGTCCATTATATGGAGAAAAATCCTGGAATGTTTTCATCAAAAACCTTAATTTCTTTTCGACTGAAGAAAGAATGACATGGACATCTTGGATGACATGGGGGTGAGTAAATTATCAGCAAAAGTTGTTTGTTTTTTTTTAAAGTGAACTACTCCTTTAATATGCCCAGGTTTGGAGAAAATGTTGTGTGAAAACTTCAAATAAAATATCAAATCAATTAATAAAGCCATTTTTCTTTTTGTTGGGGCAAAATAGTAAAAGTCTTAAAGAATATGCTAAAGTTACATAAAGTTTAATCTTCAATTTAGACATTTAAAGTGCCTCATTAAAAGCGTGTAAAAAAGTTTCTCATGTGAATGTACAAGACTTCTGGTTCATTACCACTAGAAGAATTAAGCGAATGGACAAAGTGCAACTATTTGGGGCTAAAACCCACGTGTTTATGATTACAATATTACAAATTTTGGTAACTAACTTACTGTTTAAGCTGTTTTTATACAGCTAAATAAATGGAGGTGAGTTGTGTTCTGTTTGATTAACAAATGGTAGTGATCAGGAAACCTGTGTGTGCAGAAATGACACACTTCAACTTTAACTAAAACAATCTCTCCACAATTCCAGATTACAGGGAGGCCTTCGGACTTTTCGACAGAGTTGGTGACAGCAAAGTAGCCTTCAACCAGATTGCAGATATCATGCGTGCACTGGGACAGAACCCAACCAACAAAGAGGTTGCAAAGATCCTGGGCAACCCCACCGCTGACGGTACGTGGATTTTTTTTTTCTTCCTTTTAATCAGCTACGCTGAAAGTACTTCTAGTCAACATTAGCACTGTCAGGACCTTTCTCAGTGAAATATTTCAGTTGCTTGTAATTGAAATAGTGCATTATGTTTCACTACATCTGCCCTCTATGGCTCCTTCATTCACTTCTGTCCCTGTTCACAGACATGGCAAACAAGAGAGTCGACTTTGATGGGTTCCTGCCCATGCTGCAGTTTGTGATCAACAGCCCAAACAAGGCATCATACGATGACTACGTTGAGGGTCTGCGTGTATTCGATAAGGAGGGCAACGGAACAGTAATGGGTGCTGAGCTGCGTATCGTCTTGTCAACACTGGGTAAGTGGCCAACATGAACAACTAGATGAGATCAAGGTACGAAAGCTGACACTGGGGCGGTACCTTTTCAAAAAGGTACACTTTTGTACCAAAAGGGTGCATATTGGTACCTTCATTAAGGTACAAAAGTGTACCATGAAGGTACCAATGTGCACCCTTTAGGTACAAAAGTGTACCTTTTGAAAAGGTACCGCCCCAGTGACAGCTTTCGTACCTTTTTTTCTGACAGTATAGCAATTCCATTTTCACATCAATAATGAGAGTGAACACTTTTGAAACACTCAATCATTTTGAGTTGTTGTTTTTTTTTTACCTAGAAACTTTGAATGAACTGAATGTAAAAGCAAAGTCTGCTTTGTAATTATATAGGGAAGAGATATGTTCAGTTTACATCTTAAAGGAGTAGTTCACTTTTAAAAAAAAACTTTTGCTGATAATTTACTCACCCCCATGTCATCCAAGATGTCCATGTCTTTCTTTCTTCAGTCGAAAAGAAATTAAGGTTTTTGATGAAAACATTCAATGGGACTTCAATGGGAACCAAACGGTTCAAGGTCCAAAAGACAGTTTCTGTGCAAACTGCAAACTGTTCAAAGGGCTTTAAACGATTCCAGACGATGAATAAGAGTCTTATCAAGTGAAACGATCTCTCATTAAAAAAAAACAAAAAACAACAAAGTTTAAAATGGTCGCCTTGCTCTGTTCTGTGATGCGCGTTCGTGACTCTCATGTTCGAACTCGTTCATCAAAATGAATCTTTTCCGAGTCAATTTGTTCATTTTGGTCGTTGACTTGGAAAAAAGATTCGTTCATTTTGATGAACGAGTTCGAACAGGAGAGTCACGAACGTGCATCACAGAACAAAGCAAGGCGACCATTTGTGCTTATAAAACTTAAATTTTGTTATTTATTTATTAAACGAGCGATCGTTTCATTTGATAAGACCCTTATTCATCGTCTGGAATCGTTTAAAGCCCTTTGAACAGTTTGCAGTTTGTACTGAAACTGTCTTTTGGACCTAGAACCGTTTGGTTCCCTGTAAACTGCATTATATGGAGAAAAATCCTGGAATGTTTTCATCAAAAACCTTCATTTCTTTTCGACTGAAGAAAGAATGTCATGGACATCTTGGATGACATGGGGGTGAGTAAATTATCAGCAAAAGTTTTTTTCTAAAAGTGAACTACTCCTTTAACTGAGAACCACTGATATATCATAATATTGTAATGTTTCTACTAATCAAGCCTGTTGTCAAGACATAATAATTAAAATGGTGGCTGTCATAGAAACATGTAGAGAAAATTGCCTTTACAGAATTTCAACAATTTGTAGACATTTTTAGACAGAATTAGATGATTCATTAAAACATAGCATACACTAAATTATTAAAACAAGAAAGTGCATATTAATAATATTTTAAATAAAAAAACATTTGTATGGGTATTTTTTCTGCGTTTGCAACAATGATTGGCAGATTACAGGAGATATGATACGTTTCAGCACTGAGTTGCACTGAATCTTTCAGCATAGCTTTGTTTTTTCATGCAACACTTTTAAAAAAAAGCTTCCAAAAGGTTTTTGGGTTGTTGTTTTTTTAAAGAACAAACATTTTTGAACAATCATTAACAGTCATTTTCTTTTTTTATCGTGAAGAATATTTTAACAATAACCTTTTTTCCACTGTGCAGTGGTTTAAATGCATTTTAATGGTTCAAACTATACTTCTCACTTTCCCTGCAGGTGAGAAAATGACTGAAGCTGAGATCGATGCTCTCATGCAAGGCCAGGAGGATGAAAATGGCTGTGTGAACTTTGAGGGTCAGTTCAGTTCCTTTTCATTGTCTTATTGCGCATTAATTCAATCATGACTGACCGTTTTATAGAGATAATCGCTGTTTGTTGTCCTGTAATTTTGAGCCAGCTTCACATGGACTTTTTTTTCTTCAATCTCTTCATTCTAAACAGCTTTCGTCAAACACATCATGTCTGTGTAAGAAGTGAAGAAACTGAAGCATTTCTCCAGATTCCATGATGTCAGGACATCCACACAATGTTTCCAAAACCAACTCAGAAACGGATAAAAGGGACACGGGATGTTAATCATAAACATTTATTTTGTAATTTGTTTTTCCTATTTTGTTTTCCACTTGACTCCAATTTCTCTTGTCCATTTGTGGAATCCATTCATATTTTTTTTCCAGCTAGTATTATGATGTTCTTGCCGGGACAAGCCTCTCCGTAGCGGAACAGTTGTGAGTGGTGGGGGGTGTGTGGGTGGGGCATCATGGGTACACAAAAATTTGAACCACGCCCCCTTGACCACTCACTGTCTGGATCGCAAAGTCAAAGGTGCTAAATATACTGCCATTAACGGACTGCTTGCAAAACCTCCTTCCCCTTTCCCCAGAGTCTTAATTTATTTTTCGCCTCTGTTAATTCTCATAATAAACTTTTCACAAAGTATCAGCCTTTGTTGTGTTTAATGTTTTCATATTCAGTGCACAAGGCAGAAAGCTAAGTGAGAAGTGAACAGGTAAGTGAACATTTAGAGTCAACATGAAAGAGTATTCACTACCCAATTCAGAGTGAAAAAGATAAAAGTGAAAAAGAAAAACAGAAACTTGGTGGATTGTATCCATCTGGAATTGATTGGATCAGGAAAAATGGGAAGGTTTTCACAATGAGTATATCAAGAAAGTAAATGCAGTCAATTTGAATATCATGTCGAGTTTATGTTAAAGCTACACTGTGTGATTTTTACCCCCATCTAGAGGTGAAAAGGTATATGACCATCCAGTGAATATTAGTTTCTGTTCCTCTCAATTCCGATTTCGTTTTAACTCCTACGGTGGCCAATCTAGTCCATGATTAACATGGCTTCCAGTTCGACCTCGTCCATGAGTGTTAACCCAACTGTAAACGCGAAAGGCGAAGCTTAAATTAACGGGTATGTCCCTCTTTGGCTAATGTACTTTCAAGATGGATGGCGACCGACATTAGATCCCCTTACCCGTATGTGTTTTCAATGGCATATTATACACTCACGAGAATACTTTATTACTTGAACAAAGTAAATATACATTAATGAGCATATACATTTTTGAAAGAACTAAGTGTTTTTAGCTAAGAATAAACTAAAAGAGTTACATAGTGTAGCTTTAAGATAACCTTAGAATATGGTAAATAAATATCCATTTAAAGACTAGATAGAGCTTAGGATTTTTTCATTCATAGATTATTGTACAATATCTCGTAATTTTCAAAGAAAACTGGGATGCAAACTTGTCACATTCTGACCCTGTGACCTGCTTTTGAAAATTAAACTTCAAACGTTTATATCTGTTGTCAACAAATGAGAAGCTTTTGGTTTTCTTTTGGTATTCCGCTAAAATAAAAGCTCTGGTTTAACACTGATGAAAGGAAATAAATTAAGACAGCTATAAATATTGGTACGGTAATTTTACTGTTATATTGATTGTAGATGTATTGTATTGATACAATATATATTGTAGATATATTGAAATCATCTTCCATTGCGATTTCCTCTATATCTAAATATGTTTAGATCTTCACAGTGAAGGGTAAAACTTCCAAAATCTCTGTGTAAACAATGAGTGACATAGACACGCAAGAGATCACTTCCGGCGCTTGCGTAGACCGAAGCGCCCGTGCCTTCAGATCATTTGGATGTGGCTGTGGTAACAAGAGGTAAAAACGATATAAATACTGTTTGTTTTCTCACACAAACCGCTCGTTTCGTGTCTTAGGCCATCAATGTGTACTTACATTTACGAGTCATTAAATCATGTTTAATTTGGACTTATCTGTGCATGCTCTTTGAGGTGGTGACCATAGACCTCAATATATGACTGATAGACACGAACGGTTTGACCTAAAAATATCAAAATTTAAAATATTGCGGAAACAAAGACACCTTGGATGCCCTTGAGGTAAGCAAAAACATACCAAAAATTCATTTCAAAGTGAACTATCCCTTTAATTTATATAGCGCTATGGTATATGCCCTGGACCCTTGAATTCAACCAATAGATTTCCACTTACCGTTTTTAACACAGTCATAACACATTTCACAAACATAAAGTCAGAAAAGAAAAAAAAAAAAACAGATCAGACAATGTTTTGTTCATTTTCTGTATTTTTATTGTCATAACTGTAAGGGCATTTATAATCCGTATCATACCAACAGGAGAAAAACGGCATACATCGATGTGACCTTTTAAATACATTTACAGCAGCTGAGGGGATCAAGGAAAAGAGCAGGTAAGGCTCGGGGGGGCCGAGAAAACACAGAAGCCTACGAATGACAGCTGTTCTAGAGGAAAAGGGGCAGGGGAGAACCACAAATGACGAGAAAAAATATACTGGTGTACTGTGTTCAAACAAATGCAAGCGCAGTGAGTATCCTTTTTAAAGTTTTGTTTTGTGTTTCTTTTTCCACGTCCTAAGAAAGAAAACTAAGCATCCAAGCAGGAATCAGCAGACGAACACAGGGCCTAAATTACCAACAGCGTCCCGAGGAGCCGCACCCTACGTTTAAAGGGATAGCTCACTTTGAAATGAATTTTTGATATGTTTTAGCTTACCTTTGTCTTTGTTTCCACAGTATTTTCTATTTTGATATTTTTATTTTTAGCTCAAACCGTTCGTGTCTGTCAGTCATATAATGGAGGTCTATGGTCACCACCTCAAAGAGCATGCACAGAGAAGTCCAAACTAAACATGATTTAATGACTCGTAAATGTAAGTACACATTGATGGCCTGAGACACGAAACGAGCGGTTTGTGTGAGAAAACGAACAGTATTTATATAGTTTTTACCTCTTGTTACCACAGCTACATCCAAGGGCACAGCCTCTTTGTGACTGTGATTACAAGAGGTAAAATCTATATAAAAACCGCTCGTTTCGTGTCTTAAGCCATCAATGTGTACTTCCATTTACGAGTCATTAAATCATGTTTAATTTGGACTTCTCTGTGCATGCTCTTTGAGGTGGTGACCATAGACCTCCATTATATGACTGACAGACAACAACGGTTTGACCTAAAAATATCAAAATTGAAAATACTGCAGAAACAAAGACACCTACATCTTGGATGCCCTTGAGGTAAGCTAAAACATACCAACAATTTATTTCAAAGTCAACTATCCCTTTAAGAATAAAATGAGGGCCGCAGAACCACCCATATCTAGCTCAGGCGGGTCCGTTCCCATCTCGACTCTGAAAGATGCCGGTACACTTCAAGACAGCAGATTGAGCAGATCTTGCATGATTCATGTATAACTGGAGCCCTCGATTGTATTTGCGTAATGTAATACTGTTACATAAGCGTTTTGTGTAAAGGTGCAGTCACATTAACTGTTGCTCGGCAAAATTTCGCAGGCGAAATCCAGTCATTTCAACAGGATTCTGTGTGTTTGGGAGTTTCACCTGAGGGCGAAAAAGTTCCCCATGCAGATTTTGCTCAAGATGTAGTGGCGAATTCACCGTGACTTCTGAACAAAATCTGAAAGCTCATGTGACCACACCATAAGTTAAAGCACAAATCTGCTTAAACTGTGTACCGACAAAGATCCACGGAAGCAACGGTTTCGCAACGGTCATCTGAAACAATGTACAAACTAAACATTGTCGCTAGTATCTACAAAACAAGATGTGTTGATTTTATTCGATGTTTCAGCAAATAACTTACTAAAATCCCTTGAAATAGAAAATAGCCTCTTTTGTGTACTAGAATACATGCTCGTCATACTATCTAGTTGTTTTTTGTTTTTTTTAAATGCAATAGTACAGGAATAACTTATCGAAGGAGTAATCGTTTGTTTTTTTTTTCAATTGAGCATGAGATGTCGAGACAAAGAGCTGGTATACTTATAAATATATTCCCTTATAGTGTATATTGTGTTTGATCGTACTTGAGATGTTTTAGAGTCCATGCACTGAATGGGCAAAAGAATCACGTGCAGAATGGTACCGTCGCGCCACATTCCCGTGTATAAAAAATTCAGTTCGACCGACTTTTGCAACACACCTGACACTGACCCTAAACCAGCAGTTGAGGCCACCGTCTGTACACAATCATAAAAAGTCACATGTAACATGGGTAATAAAAAGCACTGGTCTCTAGTTCTAACAAGTCGTTATTCATTAAAATTGACCAAAAAAACAAACAAACAAACAAAAAAAAACAGATAAAATGCTTTTTTTTTCCAGATGGGAAGTGAAATTTGTAGTCTTCATTAAATAGCGGCGGGAGGAAGGGTCAACCGTGACACCAATGAAGGGGACTACTGTAGATTGAGTGGAGGGAATTCGATTGAACGATTCACAAGCCTTGTTTGGCCAGGGCGGCGGTCACATCGTCGGCCAGCGTGGCCAGCTGTGGAGACTCCAGCATGTTGATGCTCCCGGACGAGGACATGTGGCTGTGCCGGTGAGGAGAGGTGCCGCCTGACAGCCCGAGCGTCTCGATTACAATCTCTGCCCCGTGATCCACACGTGCTTTGGCTGCGTCTCGGAACAACAGCTTGTGGCTTTCGATCTTAGGAGGAAATGGGGAAGTCGGTGATGGTCGCTTTGCTCGTCCTCGTGTATGATGTGGGACGGATGAGTAAAAACAGTTGTGTTTGTGCACTCACCTGTACGTGGCCTCCTCCTGGTGTGTGGTGGGCATTGTCCAGTGAGCCTACCTTTGCATGGGCTTTTTCTCTGAAGTCCAGCTTCACACTCTCAATCCGCACATGACCACCTCCTGAGAGTCATAAAAAAGAAATGCAGTAAATTTCTCGTTTCTCTGCTGGTGAAATCTTGCACAGAACTAAAAAACAAAACAAAAAAAAACAGGTATAAAATCTAAATATTTACTCTACTGTTCAAGTTTTATTTTTAAATCTCTAATATGACAACCAAAGCTGAATTTCTTTGCCCAAAATATAGTAAAAGCTATAATATTGTTTAACATTATTACAATTGAAGGTTTTATATTTAAATATATTTTAAAATGCAATTTATTACTATATTGGCAAAGCTGGATTTTCAGGATTTTTAGTCTTCGGTGTCACATGATCCTTCGGAAATCATTCTAATTTGCTGCTCAAGAAACATTTCTTCTTATTGTCTATGTTAGTAAGGCAAACTATTGAAATCATCAATCCCATAATTTTTATAATATCGGCCTCTATCACATGGTTAAGATGTCACTTAATGGTAATAAATGGTACCGGAATTCATACACATACTTGGCAATACTTTTTCATTGCCCATCATATTATGATCAAAACCTTTTCTAATCTTGACTAAACACATTGTCAGAAAGATTTGAGTCTCAAGGTTCCGTATTTTGTAACAGAAGTGATATTTGGACAGAAATTTATTCATTTTCTACAGCAGAATGCATACAATTAAATTCAATGGAATTGATGTCATTTTTGGGATTATGCCTAAACTAAATCTCATGAGAACTTCAATTTTTGTGATATCAACTTTAAATTTGGAACACAACTTGGTTATATTTTATAATCATTTTATAGGAAAAATATTTTGTAAAATATATATTTTATATTAAAGAAAAAAATATATTTGATTTAATTTAAATTGAAAACTTCCATAACTTTTTCTACTTTTATTTTTTTAAGTGCTTTTACTTCAGTAATAATCAGCAGTGTTTTCTTTGTAATAAAGACCTAAGTGTAGTCTTGTTTTAAAGCATACTTGAAATACAACCAAGTTTTAATAGTGCATTAATGTCCATTCTCTAAAAGGGGGGTGAAAGTTAACCGTTATGTGCCAAATCAACCATTTGGTTGAGCATGTTTTTGAAAAATTATTAAAAATATACTAAAGATTTTTCATAGCACCAAGTAACATCATTTTGTAAAGTTAAGGTTCTTACAGTGTACGTACGTAATATATATTAAAAAAATGCTTAGCTTGCAAAATTTCACCAAAAACAGTTCACATGGCTGGGGGATTTATTTGTTTCTGTATACCTCAACCAGATGATAGAGTTGGCTCAATCAGTTTGAGTTATGTATACTCCTCTCAATAAAGTATAGTGACTCAAGTCAAAATGTGCTCGACCGTTTGGTTGAGATGTCAGTTAAAGGGTTAATGAATGGGGGGAAAAATGCAGTTATTTCAAATATATTTTTTTGTAAACGTCTTTGATGTCATTTTGATCGATTTCATGCACTGAAAAGTATTAATAAAATAAAACAAAAACATTGAGCCCAAACGTTTCAACAGTAGCCTAATGAATGTATAGCTCTTAAATACAAAATATGAAAGATTTATAAAATCTCTCACTGTTAACTGTTAATTATTGGAAAGAGTTAGCAAGATTCTTACAACATAAAATTTTCCGATTGTATATATGAATTTATTTGAAATGGCAGAATCTTTTAAATGGGTTTGGCAAAGGAGGAGATTAAAATATAACCACAAGATGGCGCTGTTATATCATCAAATCGCCTAGCACAGGCATGCATGTTTTTTAAACACAATCTGTATCATGACATTGCAAATTTCCAATCTGTGGCTAAAATTTCCAGAATTCATTAGCATGCTCACCTGGCCTGTGGCGGATGTTGTCCAATGATCCACACTTGGAGGTCACATGACTAAGATCAATCTTCTTAGATTGAATGTGAACCTGTAAGAAACACCAGATATTGAGTACAAAAATAATAAAACACAAATGGGATAATAAAGCCAAGGAGTCACTCCAGTTCTTCTTCAAATATGAATCTAAAAAAAAACAAAAAAAAACGTTGCCTAAAAAGGAGCAATAATCGAGTTCAACTAACTCCACAACTAAACTCATGTTAGCTGAGCTGCAAATCTGCAAAAACTTATCAATATGCTGAAGATGTCAGTACATTGAGAAATCCAACAACTGCAAATGAATATCACAAATACACCATCAGATCACTGAATCGGATGATATGGCAAAGTAAATATTGGGTTAGGTAGATTCTGGTGTTGCTACTGGTGTAGGACTATTGAATCATGAAATACTTAAAAGAAGATGTTGACCTTTTAAGAGAAACGTAGCTAACAGATATATTATAGTGCTCAATTACAAAATTAAAGTTATGTTCCAGAAAGTTAAAGAATATTTCAACCTTAACGAAACAGACAGCATAAGTAATATTTTGTGGGAATCAAACCCATGACCTTAGCGTTGCTAGCGCCATGCTCTACACAGTGTGGTCATTATAGCTTTGTTGTAATAGTCACTCACAATGACTGACCGCTGCTGCTGCAAGGGACAGAAAAGGCAAATCTGATTGAAGTAGGCTACACATTCAGGAGGACACCAGCTCTCTGACATTTACAAAACACTGGTCAAGACATTTTAGCAGGCAATATACACAATCAGAAAGAACAGAGAGACCAAAAACTATAGTGAGCTGACTGTAAGCAGCTTTTTTAGGCATATTTATGCTGCCTTTATGATAATTTATTTTGATAAAATTGTGAGACAGCATTACATTTATCTTTAGCAGTGAACGCAATGGCATAAATGTATTACAACAAGCTTAGTAAAAAAAAAAAAAAAAATCTGGACGGCAGACAAAGTGAGAGAAATGTCAATTATTAATATAAATCATTTAATATTTAAAATTATTACTAAAGATACTCAAAATGTATTATTTTACACAATATTTCTGTATGCTAGATACATTAATTTATATTAGTCACATATTTAGTGTAGCAACAAGTTAACAAGTCAATTATGAGACAAATTTACTGTATGATTCACATGACCTTTACACTAGTATTCAAACATTTGTGGTCAGTTCGATTTTTTTTATTATGTTGGCTTGACAAATCGTTAAAAAAGTATTCTCTATATAATATGGTATGAATATGGGTAGTAGCTATGAATGAAATTCAGATATTGTACATCCATCCTGTTGTTACTGTCACGTGACCCACCAGCGTCAGTTGTATCGCTTTACTTTTGTTAATAAATTGAGTTTCCATCAAATGTGAAATTTAATGCATTTTTTTACAGTCTATGTTTTGGACATGTTTTGGCTATTACTGTTTTGACGTAGGCTACTGTTTTTTTTTTTTTTGCATACTATGATAGGGAGCCAATTAATTTACAACAGCAATAGAATACTTAAATTGTTTTTTTGCTAGCAAATCTTACTGACTATCCAAGGACAACTTAATATTCAACAATATTTTTGACCTGACTGTATTAACTCTGTTGTATAAGAACTGAACTGAGCTGGACGATGACATTTTTTTGTTGTTTTTTTGCAGAACTGCTTTATAAATTAAATGAACTAATTTAATGATTGATGATCTTTCCAATGGAAGTGAATCAACACTAATCTGACTTCAGCTGAACAACAGAAATGCATAATTTTCCTGTTATCACTGTAAATCTGCTTTGAACCAATCTGTAATGTATAAAGCGTCAAAAGGTGCCTTGACTTGACAAAATGTTAAAACATGCTAACAAAGTGCTAATCATTCTAACAACATGCTAACATGTTAGCAGTGTGTTAACAACATGTTATTAATATGCTAATCAGGCTAGCAACATGCTCATACATAGGAACATGTTAATTCATGCTAACTTTAAAATTGAAATTTTTGAAATCTTTTCAGTTAGGCTACTTTATTTTACATTATTTACAGAGACACCTAACACATTTTGGCTTGCAGGCCTTCTTTCAATGTTGACAAAACATGCTAGCAAACATGAGAACAATGGTGTGAACAAACTAGCGATGTAGGCTACTAACAACATGCTAAATTGTTTTAGCAATATGATAATGTTAATGTTGATAACAATGCTGATCATGCCAAAAACATGCTAAAACTTGGTAACAGTATGTTAAATCATGTTAGCAACATGCTAGAAAAATGCTTAATCATGTTAGAAACATGTTAGAAAAACAGGTAAATCATGCTAACAAAATGATAAAACACTAACAGCATGTTAACAACATCTTAAATCATGTTAACAACATGCTAATCATGCTAGCAACATTCTAATTATGACCGCAACATGTTAAGAACATGTCAAACCAGCTAACAACACACTAATATGTTAGACACATGTTATCAAAATGCTAATCATGTTATCAAAATGCTAAAACATGCTAGTAACATGTTAAATAATGCTAACATCATGTTAATTCATCTTAACAATAACAACGCAACATGTTAATAATGAACATGTTAAAATGTTAAATTATGCTAATCATGCTACCAACATGTTAAAAAAATGCTAGCAACGTGTTTAATAATGCTACTGTAGCAACATGTGCGTCCCAATTTGCATACTTGTGCAGTATTATGTTATGTTTTTTTAGTATAGTGCGAGGCGAGTGGTGTGTTCCCACTGAAAATTCCAAATGGAAAAGTACACTTTAAATACCTGGATGATGCAGTTAATTAATGGAAAAAATTAGCGTGGGATGTAGAGCACTTCATGCACTTGACTGTCACAGCTTTAATTACGTAGCAGAGGGTGAGGGGACTGACTGCGACAGTGAATAACTAAATAACAAAATACACGGATGAGTACGTGCATAAGTGCATAGTGTATAGTGCGTCATTTGGGACGCAATTGTATTTTATGCGTTTTGTATTTTATTTTATATATATATATATATATATATATATATACTGTATTACTGCCAAAAACCAGAACAAGTCATATTTCATGTCAACAACATGCTAATCATGTTAACAGCATGCTAAAACATGACAACAATGTGTTAAATCATGCTAGCAACATGTTAATTCATCCTAGCAATGTGCCAATTATCCTACTATGCTCAAAATGAGTACTATAAATACTTTCTCAGAGTAAAACCTTCAAACTTCAAGCTTTTCAAAGTAATTTTAAACTTTCAGACCTGGCTTTGTCAAGCCAACATCAAAGTTTGTCATCAAATTTTTCTAATCTAATTACAGTACTTATTTTATTCAGCCAAGATACAAATTGTAAAAGTTATATTTCAAAAGATGTACAGTATATTTCAGATAAAAGCTGTTCTTTTAAACTTTAAATTCATTAAAGAGTCCAGAATAAAAATGTATCACAGTGTCCACAAAAATATTAAGCAGCCCACTGTTTTCAATAAAAATAAAATTGTACTGTATTTTTGATCAAATAAATATAGATGAACATTAGAGACTTCTTCTTAACATTAGAGACTCCATCTTAAAATGTACTGTGTATACAACACACTAAGCCACTGCCTTTGTCGAGCACTCCATTTCAGTTAGGATGCTCCCTGTGTAGGCGGCAGACAGCAAGAAGGCTTACTAGGTTTTTGAACACAACCTAAAAAGTAAGTATAATAGAGGAGACCTTGAAACCTAAAGAAGAGAAGAATAAAAATGTTGACAGCAACTACTCCATGATACAGACCAATGCTCAAAACTGTTTCAGGACGAAAAGAACCATATAAATTACCACCATTTTTCTCAAACAGAGAAATTAAATATATTGAAAAGGAGAGTGATGTGTTGTCTTATTTTGATATGACTTCCATACAGTAGACACACAAGTGTTGATGGGTCAACATCGAACACCTGCATTACAGTTTACAAATATATACATATAGGGTGTATATATTTTCACATGATGAACAACAAGAAGGGACTTCAGTTTTGCATTTTAGAGCCACGTGTGAAAATATATCTGATGTCTGTCTGTATTCAAGGTGGTCTGCATCTATATGATGTTTGATTCTGCCATGGAAAGCATTTTGTCCTACTGAGGATCCAGTGCAGATCCAGAGGTGTTGAATCGATGTATCGCGATGCGGACGTGGACGATTCTGCATTGGTGCGGTAGCAGACCATAATCAATTATAGCCTACTAACGTTTATCTGACGTCATTTGTCACAAGCGCACTTCGAACAAGCGCAAAATGGTGGAGGGAGGCGAAACACAAAAGCGAGAAATAAAAAAATGCACCCACTATTTTAAAACGTACAGTGTGAGTGTGAAAGGCTGCGAGTGTGTGTGTGCGTGCAAATGTGATGAGCATTATTGTAACTTAAATGCACTTGACAGCTCCATGCGCTTTTACTATTTGCTAGTGTTTGTTCTAAATGGTTCTGTCGTCTGATGTGTTCAGTAATATTGAAAAAGTGAGGATGCAACGCAACGTGATATCGAACCAAATCGAATCGTGAGACAAGTGACGATTCACACCGCTAGTAAGTGGTCAAAAACCGTGGAGGTCTGTTGGCTTTGGAACAGAAGGAAAGAGAGATGGAGCAGTACATACATTGCCTCCACGGGGCGAATGCCTCAGATTATCCTTGGATCCACACTTTGACTGTACGTGACTGAAGTCCAGCTTCTTGTTTAAAATTTGAATCTAGAAAAATACAAAGATATGTGGCTCTTTTAATGAAGATGGAAACACACACACATACATGCACACACACATTCAGACAACTGGTAGCCGTGCACAGGTGAGACGGGTCAGTAAGAGAGGTAAGAAAACACCCTTAAAGATGAACTTGACCCCTCTTTTGGTGCTCACAGCACCTGCAGCCAAAAATCGAATGGGCAATTCCCAGTCATTAAAAGTGAAGGGTTGACAAAGCAGAAAAGTTGAGTTGAGGTCAACTTTATGCTAATGTGCAGCAAGCTTAACACAATGCGGCTAGGGGAGAGCAATGCCTGTCTACAACCAACCATCAGTGCAGAAACGTGTTGATTTAATCACTGTCAGTGTGAATGCCCCTTAAGGGTTAAACTGCAACTGGACTCATTGACACCGTCTCCAACAGTTAGACACTTATTTTATGCTAATTAATGCAGAATGTCTCTCCATTAAGTGAAGCCATCACACTTAAGGGCTAAATAAATTAACATGGAAGTAGTTCCAGATAAACATTACAAATTGAATTAGCTGTTACATGTAAAACGCTTGCTCTCATGCTAGAGCCTGCAAATGTCACTTCACTTCCTAAATTTTAAAGAATCCCCAAGAGATCACACTATTAAACTTAAATTATGAGTCAGTCTGCAGGACTCACTGACCTGTGAGAAAAGAGTATAATAATAGTAATTAAAAAAAATGTTAGCTATATAAAACATGTAAAATAATGCTATTTTACATTTAATATTATTAGTATTGCTGTCAAACGTTTAATCGTGATTAATCGCATCCAAAATAAAAGTTTGTGTTTACATAATATAAGTGGGTGCACTGTATTATTTTATATATATATATAAATACACACAAATGATTGTATATATTTAAGAAATATTTTCATGTATGTACATATAGATTTATATATAATTTATATTATATGTAAATATACATATTTTATATATAAATAATATTTTTTTCTTAAATATACATGCATATGTGTATATTTATATATATACAAAATAATTATACACAGTGCACCCACCACATATATTATGTAAACACAAACTTTTATTTTGGATGCGATTAATCGTTTGACAGCCCAAATTATTACATAATATAACATAATAAAGATATAATGTGTGTATGTATAAATGTACATATTATATTATCTTGATTACATTTACGTATTATCTTTTATATATCATATTTAAATAATTACATATGAAATCGTTATGATGTTATTTTTTTATTATTATTTTTATTTTATTTATTCTATTTCTTATTTTATTTTATTGGTCATGAATTTACATATGCTATATAGTGTTTAATGCTGCATATTTATATTACACAGTAAAAAAATAAATAAAAAAATTCCCAGACTCTAGTGACTGGTCACATCTAAATTTTTTCAACAGGCCCAAGTGAAATTCTGCAAATTATTTTTTTTTTTTTTTTTAAATTGAAAAATTTAGATCAGTCACTAGAAAAGTTTGAGTTGGGAGGTTAATGTTTCACAGTGCATACTGCATATTCACATATATAAACTAATAAGCTAATTATCAAATTAAAGAATAATGAAAATCTAAGTGAAATTGCATGATTCAATTTATTGCATAGTGAAAGAATATAAGCAGAATATTGAGGCTTTTAATAAAAGATGCCTAAAACCCTAACAAAAACCTAAGAGGCCAATGAAAATTAATCAGTCAGTGCAACAGTATATATATATAAAGTCTATAAAAGCTAAATGTACTTTAGTCCATCAAACACCAGACTCATGCAATGACACCTGACTGCTGTAGTCAATGTACAGTGACGGATTCACACATCACCTGATGCACAATCCATTTAGCTGTTATTGCAGTGGAACAGAGACTTCAACAATGCCCTCACCACCAGGCTGTTGGCTGTTGTAGTAGCGTGCTTTTAACTGGCCTCAGCTGTTTTCTAAGACAGTGTTCATTTATTAGGGAATAGGGATTTGGACCTGGGCTGGTTCAGAAAGCAGGACAGAGTGAACAACTGAAGTCAATGTTACCGAAATCTCTTGAAGACACACTCTTGCACAAATAACAGTCTACTTAAATACTGTAACCCCGAATGAAGTGCACCAAACACCGGACGCAGAGGGGGTGATGCACAGATGATGACCCTTCAGGGAGAGAGACAGCTGGAGCCAGACCCGGAGTCTGTGTTTGGTCTCGAGACACACATGAGTCATGAAAGTTCTTAACTTTACATACACTCTTCAAGCTCAAATGTGGTGAGGTCAACTCTGCGTGATGAAAAGTGCCATGAAACATACATCACACACACACACAAAGAATGTTAAATGGGTCACACGAGGAGTCAGATTTTTGCTTAAGCAATGACTGATAATACTGAAAAGTAGCAATTAATCATTGTCACTTTCTAAGTCCGTCCCTAGTCTTTTTGAGCCCTGTAGACTTTACATTGATGAATCATTTAGTGAACTTGAAAATGGCATTGGAGTTTATTTTAGGCCACTCAGGACACCCTAAGGAGGGTGTGTTGTATAACCTATGCCACGGCCTGAATCTGTCTGGGCCCAAATGCTCCCACACCCCCTGGATGACAGCGGGTGTCTCCCCAGCATAGTCACTCACAGAACAGGTCTAAGAGACAGTGACATGAGCCAAAGTCACTCATGGTTGAGTGAGCGGGCATGTGGCGGCCACTGCCAGTCTGTGTTTGCCCAAGGGTTAGACTGGATAAGAGTGCTGCGCCTGTCTTTGCCTTAATGACATAATATGTCTACTGAGGGCCACTGAAGCAGACGGGGACAGTCTGAAAACCCGGAAACTGGAAAACTTTGAAAGCCATGTGCTTGTTTAATGTCAGGACATTTCATTGGATTAATATTTGTCCAAAAGCTGCAAAGATGCATCAGCTCTAGATACTCATCTGTTCAAATCTAAATTGTTTTACTTTACAAAAATAATTAATAGTGATGTTTATTTTCTAATTTCATTTTTTTAAATTTAATAATATAATAATAAAACATATAATAATATAGTTTAGTCTATAGATAGTCCATCTATAGGGGAGTTTTTTTGTGCTTTCAAGACTTCTTTTAAAACCTTAACGCTTAAATGGATGTTCAAAAACGAGCAATTGTTTGCAGTTTAGTTTAAAAAAAAAAAATGCCCTAAACTTTTGGTGGAAGTTTTGACTTCTGAAAGTTTCTGTGTTTTCATGTACAGTTAAATGATCTCAAAACACGATTGAGATAAGATTAAAGGAGTAGTTCACTTTTAACAAAACCTTTTGCCGATAATTTACTCACCCCCATGTCATCCAAGATGTCCATGTCATTCTTTCTTCAGTCGAAAAGAAATTAAGGTTTTTGATGAAAACATTCCAGCATTTTCTCCATATAATGGACTTCAATGGGAACCAAACGGTTCAAGGTCCAAAAGACAGTTTCAGTGCAAACTGCAAACTGTTCAAAGGGATTTAAACGATTCCAGACGGTGAATAAGAGTCTAATCAAGCAAAATGATCACTCATTTTTTTTAAAAAATAACAAAGTTTAAGTTTTATAAGCACAAATGCTCGCCTTGCTCTGTTCTTTGATGCGTGTTTGTGACTCTCCTGTTCGAACTCGTTCATCAAAATGAACAAATCTTTTTTCATGTCATTTGGTTCATTCAACGAACGGAGTCAGAAAAAGATTTGAACCGTTTGAAGTTTGTACTGAAACTGTCTTTTGGCCCTTAAACCATTTGGTCCCCATTGAAGTGCATTATATGGAGAAAAATCCTGGAATATTTTCATCAAAAACCTTAATTTCTTTTCGACTGAAGAAAGAATGACATGGACATCTTGGATGACATGGGGGTGAGTAAATTATCAGCAAAAGCTTTTTTTTAAAGTGAACTACTGCTTTAAAAGACGTAGCAATGTACATTTCTGTTGTATTTCATTATTATATTTGATGCAAATGTAGTTTTATCTCTGGACCTTAAGAGTTTATTAATTTCGGATAAAATTAACCTTTTATTGCTACGGCACTTTTAGCTTATGCAATAGGAAATCAAATATTAATCTAAATTTGAACTGTTTTTAATAAGCATTATGAATAAGCATTATAACATTACAAATGGACTTCATTGGGAGAAAAGACTTTTAAATTAAATAAAAATCATATAACATCAACAGGAATGTTATTAAAATAATTCTTAAAATTATTTTTATTTAAAATACCATTGTTTCCAATCCAATCAAGCCCGTCCAACATTTAATATTACTTCAAATGTAATAATTTAATATTGATTTGTTTGTCAAAGTTTTCAATTCAAAAGTGCAAGAAAAACAATTTTGTCCTCATTAAAAAAATTATGTTTCACAATATTATATTTTCACACATCGTTTTGTGAAGAACTGCAATCCAACACACTGTCTCTGAGACACATAAACTAGACAAACTCAATTACTCCAATGTCCTTCCTTACAGTTTATCACTGCAATCTCCCACCCTAATAACCTCCCAATCTCCCACTCCTCTGGCTGACAAGATCCTTTTCTCTGCACTGCTGCACACTGCCACACACTGCCACGGGCCAGACATAAACATGCCACTCCAGCAGCACACAGCCTACACCCTCTCATTACAGCGAGCATGCAAGAAATGACCTAAAAACACAAGAGGTGTTTACATCAAGAGCCTGTCCCCATCGTCCCAAATGAACTCTACTCATCCTGGAAAACAAACCTACAAGACCAGAGTGTCCTAGACAGAGGAGGAAAACAACCTTGGCGCATGGGTGCATTCATGTGTGCATCCTTGACGTTTCTTTAATCCCAAAATGCAACCTAAGGCTATCTAGAATACAATAAAATATATCCAAAAGTTTTCTGTGTTAAAAAAGTCTCTCCAGCATTTGTATATGAGATATTGAAATATAAGTAATAAAGACAAATAACTTATTATTTAGTACGGGAGCACAACTTGATGATATATGACTGTTAAAAATTTAATATTTTTACATTTAAATATATACAACATTGTTTTTCTTTTTAAAATGACTTATGCAATTAATTGAAATCAACTGACAGCCCAAATATTCATTTAATACAGAATAACACAGTTATGGTCTGGTGACGGGTTCTACAAAGTCCAAATGTTGCCGTTTAAAATAAAAGTTATATAATAAATAAATAAATAAGGTACATGATGATTTGCTCCATGTCATAAGAACAAGTGCTATATTACCTTCCAGTCAGGCAAAGAACCAGCCAATCCAAGACTAGGATACAAGTGAAATGGCCTAACAGCTATAATGTGCAGCCATTAGCATGCACACAGTGAACTGATACATGCGAATGAATGCGAAATACAGTAAAGCACACTTTAAATGACCGTGTGCACACAGGGAACAGAGAATCGTAAAAAACAGCAAGAAACGTCATATGGGGAGGGGGACAAAGAGAGCCTCAGTTGGGGTGAAATCAGGATAAATTGGGAGCTTGGACTTGCCTGGCCCCCCTTGGGCTGGTACTTGATGTTGTCAATGGAACCGATCTTGGATCTGACGTTCTTGAGGTCAGGCAGCGGCTGGTTAAGGACACGCAGCTGTTTGGGTGTGGTTGCCGGAGATTTTGGAGGTGTGCGGATGATGGCCACTTTCTTCTCCTGTGACAGCAGGCTGAGGGATTTGGGGGTGCCCGGAGTGCGGGGGGTTCCCGGAGTACGGCAAGAGTAGCTGGGAGGGGTACCAGGGGTGATGGCCGTGGACCCGGGGGTGCGGGGTGTGGAGGTGCCACTGCGGGCCGAGCGGGACCGAGCAGACTCTGTGCCTGCAGTTGAAACAGAAATGAATTAGCAGTTTAAATGCTAGGATTTAGGAAGTGCAACATTAGCAAATGTATTCTCACATTAATCATACAGTGCAGTCTTAAGTCCACTAGTGAAAATGCTATTTAGCTTTTCCCTAAACAGATATGATACTGAGACCTGTTTTCAGAGAATGTTTGTTTATTTTAGATACAGTAATGCCTGGTTTAGATTCCATGATTTTTTTTTGTCTGTTACGATAGTCAATGTGTCAGATTACGCGATTTTGACTCCTAAAATCTTGTGTCGTGAATGAGAAACATGTCAGACTACACGTTGCTTCCTGACCAGTCATCGAATGCCGTCTTTAACGGCGCGCGTGATGTCATCGAGAAGGCGAAACTAGTAGCAAAGGACTTCCGGAAACGAATGTAAACAAACCATAGATGAAGCAGTGAGTGTTGTATTGGCTGTTCTGTGTTCAGAAAAAAGTAAAAAAAAGAAAGAAAACCCGACAATGGACACGTTGCTGGATTGCTGGAAGAGGACAGTATGGGCTGTCAATCCTCCAAAGAGAACTTGAGGTAAAAAATTGTTTTCTTATATATTTTTACTTTTAGTTTTAACGTTCGTTAACGTTAAATCGTTAACACCATCGTCTCTCTTTCGTTTCGCCATTTTTGAAAGTTGTGTACGGAAAAGCTTGTGCTCCTATTGGTCAACCCCATACATGTGACGGAACCGCCGTGGATGAGCATTAAAAAAATTAAACATGCTAGTCTTTTTTTCGTGATGTCGTGAAGCATCGCAGAGGCGAAGGTTGTCGACCACTATGACACACTATACGAGATGATACGATCGAATCTTGCGTCCCGACGCCCGTTGTCGTTTACGAATCTCCGCGACACCCTACGTCAAACGGATTGTGCCAAAATCGGGCTAAAATCGTGTAATCTGAACCAGGAATAAGATTAATTTTCAAATTAACCATTTTTATTCAGGAAGGTTGCGTAAAACTAATTAACAGTGTTCTATTTCAAATAAATGCAGTTCTTCTGAAATTTCATTGAAGTATCCTGAAAAAAGTATCATGGTTTTGACAAAAATATTAAGCAGCACAACTGTTTTTAAGATTAATATAAGGCAATTCTTCTTGAGCTGCAAATAAACATTAGGATAACTTCTGAAGGATCATGTGATACTGAAGACTGAATACTAAAAATTCAGCATTGTCATCAAATGAATACATTACATTATATATATATATATATATATATATATATATATATATAATTGTATTAATATTTCACACCTACTGTTTTTACTGTATTTTTGATCAAGTATTAACAAATTAGGCTTTCACTTGATTAGTATCAATAAACCATTTAAAATTAAGAGAAAGCTGAGTTTATGAAAACAAGTCTTAATATCTTATGCAATGTTGCTTCTGAAGTAAATTTTTAGATCATCTTACTGGAAAAGCAAAATAATACTAAATTAGAAGTCATTTCTTTGCATAGTGGACTTTTTCAGACTTTTGATCCCCACATGATGATGACAATGATGTATAATAAATCTTACTATTGATTTTTAAAAGGCATTATGTATAAAAAAAAAACAACAACAAACATTTAATGGACTTTAAATGCCACAAACACATAACGGAAAAGTGTACTCACATGCATAACTGAAAAAAGAACACATTAAAAAAAAATTCCTATGAAGTGCCAACGAAAATTATTCACCTTTTTAAATTATTGTTAGAGCTCCACTTCTGTAATAAAATGTGTTGGGTGAATAACTTTTAATGGCACTGACTTGTTTATGGTGACTGTATCCTTGGACAGGATAGCAGGTATGAAGGACTGATGATTAACAGGATGAAAAAGTAGGGATGGGACTCTATACCTGTCATACTATGAGACCTGCCTGTCCTGCGCTCTGCTTTGACTTCAGTACGGAATGCTACAGTAGCAGGGGAAGAAAGGGTGTGAGTGTATAGAGTATGAGTTAAAGAAAGCCTGTAGATCCTGAAGCAGAGAAGATGTGTCTAAGAAAAGATCCAAACGTCTCTGAAAAGATTTGAGGAAGCAATACATAATCTTCAGGCAATGCAACACTTTATATTAGTACTTTATACATCAATTCTTGCAGCGCATACTGGCTTTTTGTGAAATGAAAACCATGCAATACTAAGAAAATGTCTTGTATTCATTTTTCTTGTAGTAAGTAATCTGTATAATCAAAATAAGTGATAATTAAGTCTGATCAATATCAGATATTATTATAAATGGGGGTTGTACATGTATTAAAGAAATAAAGATGCATATTGCTTAACTGCAGGTTATTTTTACTTTTATAAACCACATTAAGAAGTGTTGTGTTAGATGTCAGGATGTGCATTAAACAACTTTTTGCTTGAACAGAAAAAAAAATATGAGTTGTCATCACTTTATAATGAATTTAATTATTATAACAATATAGCTTAAAGGTACAATATGCAGGATTTTTGTAGTAAAATATGCAAAAACCACTAGGACAATGTTATATATTTTGTTTAGTTGATTATTTAGAATATCCCAAATATTTCCAACTATTTGTAAATCGTGAGAAAATGGTGAGCAGGGGTGAGGAGTCGCCAGTCAATGACGTCATATCTGCGTTACCGCCGGTTTCCACCAGGTTTGACCTCGTACTGCAATAGTAACCATGGCGACAACTGGGTCCTGAGTCGGTTATGCCCGTTATGCGTGCTCAACAGCGTGAGCATCCCTAGCAGGGTTTTGTTCAAACATTATGGACCATGGCAAGCAGACTTTGAGACAAAAAGAGGACTAAAACGAAGATCAACATCTTTCCAGATGTCGAGAGCTCCACCTCCGCGACTAACTTCGACTTGACAAAGACGCCAGTGTTGCATGTTACTTGAGCAAACAGGTGAGTAAATCAATGTATATAAAACAAATCAATGTTATATAGTTAACATGATGAAAAGTTAGAATATGATCTGTATGTTAATCTAGCTTAACTAACAACATTCAGCACACTCAAATGCCGTTTAGTGTGATAGTGAAACTGTTAGAGCTAGTGAAGCAGCGCTGGGTTCCCTCAAGTTTAATTCCTCTAATAAACTGATCTGTGTGAGTAATTCAGCGTGTAGTTCGGTAGAATTAAATGTCCTTATTCCTTTATATCCACGGGACTCGCATTGTGTGTGGCGCTGGTAAACGTCTAGCAATCGCGCCCTGCTTCATACTACAGTCATGTTAAAAACATCACTGTTTTCACTCATCCATAAAAGATCCATCAGCTTGACGACAAGATCCATAATTCCACTTAATGTGGAATATACGTCATTAATATACGCCTTTGTTATTGTAAGAGGTTAGCGACCCCTGGTGGCGAAACAATCTTGCATATTGTACCTTTAACAGATCATTGAACCCGCAGAACTCTCCAATATCCTCATTAAAACCTGCAAGTCTAAAGAACCTAGAAGAGTGGTTGCTCGTTTTGCATTGTCATGGTAATTTGTATCATACCATTCAAGCAAAAGGAAGAAAACAGAAGGAAACTGAGAGGAAAATATTGAGGTCGAAACAATAAAAACAGTGGGCCTTACATGTGGGCCTGCGTGGTGCTGTGGACCCAGAACTGGTAATGGAAGTGGAACTCTCCTCGTGCTCAGCCATGTGTGGGCGACGGCTTAGTATGGATGCTGGACGTGGCAGGGATGACCTCTTCTCTGGGCTCCGAGAACCACCATCCTGAGGACAGAATCAATAATCCTGTTAGAATTATGGGGACCTTAAAACAATAGTGCATCCAAAACAAATTCTAGGATGCTGTTTTCTCTGGAAAGTTACACGTTTCTAATATTGTGCGGAAGCACACAGTCATTTGAACCATCTCGCTCCCTGCTTACCTTTACAACATATATATTTAGCGATACTTGTGGGCCCGCTGAAGAAGGACGGGGCTCATAAAGATCTGCCTCGACCAACGGGCTCCTTTTATTGGAGGAGCTGGCGGAGTTCGGCCGGGCCGGCAACAAAGCCTCTGCCCGGATTTTAGAGGTAGGGATCTTTGTTAGTGTTGTGGGATTGGAGGTCTATGATGAGAGGAACACGGACAGATGAGCGATTCATGCATGGTGAAAATGAAAACATGAAATAAAATTCAGCATGAAAGAATGTTTACACAAAGGAAATGAACAACATCTGACCACACATTTGGGGAAAACAAGGGCATTAAATTCTGGCCAGAATGCATAACCACTCGGGCAATAAAAAATGAGCAAGCACACAAATAAAGAAGAACACGCGTAGAGTTTCACTGAATGTAGTGTTAGTCCATGGGCCATTAAACTGCTGAAGGGGGCACAATGTATCACGGGGGGCACGATGAAGAAAATAAGGAGGGAAGGTCATGCAAACTTGTAAAACAAACAATGCAGAAATGAGATGTGATGTACAGACAATACAAAGAGAGGAAACCAAGGGACTGTGTAGAGCCTCAAAATGCAGCTCTGTCACATTCTGTTAACTCTGTTCAAAAGCAGTGCGCGCTATTCATAATTGATTTTAGAAAACTAAAATTACATATATATTATGTACATGAAAAAACTACAAAATTACAAACAAACTACAAAATTAAAAAGAAGACCTTTGGTATGTTTGTGTAAAAGCTCCATTAAGAGTACTTGAGCAGATCTTTAGTATACAGACTTGACAATTTATCGAAAGCCTGTTAAAGGGAGGAGTTCACTTTTAAAAAAAACTTTTGCTGATAATTTACTCACCCCCATGTCATCCAAGATGTCCATGTCTTTCTTTCTTCAGTCGAAAAGAAATTAAGGTTTTTGATGAAAACATTCCAGGATTTTTCTCCATATAATGGACTTTAATGGGAACCAAACGGCTCAAGGTCCAAAAGACAGATTCAGTGCAAACTGCAAACTGTTCAAAGGGCTTTAAACGATTCCAGACGATGAATCAAAATGAACAAATCTTTTTCTGAGTCAATTCATTCATTTTGTTCGTTGAATTAACCAAATGACCGCAAATGACTCAAAAAAAGATTCATTCATTTGATGAACGAGTTCGAACAAGAGAGTCACGAACGTGCATCACAGAACAGAGCAAGGCGACCATTTGAGCTTATAAAACTTAAACTTTGTTATTTCTTTTTAAATGAGCGATCGTTTCGCTTGATAAGACCCTTATTCATCGTCTGGAATCGTTTAAAGCCCTTTGAACAGTTTGCTGTTTGCACTGAAACTGTCTTTTGGACCTTGAACTGTTTGGTTCCCATTGAAGTCCATAATATGGAGAAAAATCCTGGAATGTTTTCATCAAAAACCTTAATTTCTTTTCGACTGAAGAAAGAAAGACATGGATATCTTGGATGACATGGGGGTGAGTAAATTATCAGCAAAAGTTTTTTTTAAAGTGAACTACTCCTTTAAGCGAATTTTACGCTTGAATTGGAGATATTATATTTGTATAAAATTGAAATCTGATACCCGATCTCTGGAATGCCTGGCCACACTGAAGGGCAGTCGGCCATCTGCAGACACTGCAGAGAGAAAGAGAGAAAAAGAGAGATTGAGAATGATTAGAAATATTGTTTCCATGACCTTAGAGATATATCCTCTCTAATGAAAATAAAGCGTATTGAACATTACACACAAGCAAACACACTGCAAATGTAATCTTGAATTCAAAAGCAGCCACATGTACATGACATTTTTAAAAGCTTTTTTATACATATTTTATTATTTATCATAGATATAAAGTGATATCCAACGCTATCTCACAACCAATTTGTCTAAATTCGTACGAGTGATTAAAAAGTGGCTAATTTGTATTAATTTATACTGTACGACCTCACTCGTACGAATTCGTACGATTTGTCTAAACCCACGTGATGGGTAGGTTTAGGGGCGGGGTCAGGGGTAAGCCATTCGTACGAATTCATACGAATTGGCCAATTCGTATAATATGTACGATTTAGCAAAAATCTTACTAATTCGTACGAGTGAGGTTGTGCGAACTGTTACGAATTTGCCTTCTCGTAAAATTCGTACGAATTGCCATGAGATTGGGTTGTAATTCACAGGTTTAATTGATCAATCAAACAGTGCTGCCCTAAACTCGCGCCATTGGTCGAGTCAATGTTGTGGGCTGGTCAACTAATAGATCAATGTCCATAAGCGCCACAGAACCAAAGTGTTTAACTTTTCAAGCAAATCAACCAACAAATGGCTTACTAGTAGTTCTCTCTGAAAATGAACTGAGATTTATTTTTTAAATGCTCAAGCCAAAGTTGGGCTATTTAGGATCAAATATGAAATGGATTGTGACTCACAACTGAATATTTTGTAGCTACTGGAAAGCTCTGCTCTGAAACAATTTGGCACAGCATAAGAGAGAATTTGAAAATGAACTGTATTTTATGAGAGGCTTTTCAGTCAAGTCTAATTGGGACATTGCAGCAATGTATCAGATGTCTACCATAAATTCAAGCACAATTCTCAGAAAGCTAACAGTGGAACTTCATTATGACACGGTAAGTTCCTTTCCTCCAGAGAGATGGAGGCCATTTATTTTAACCAAGCGCCCAGAACTCACTCAAACCACCAGTTGCCTGGAGACCAATGCAACGCACATTCAATAAGCAGCATCGCTTTGAAAAGAAAACGAAGTGTGAACAAGCATGTGCAACTGAGAGAACACATGCAGACGACAAAATGAAAGGTCAAACTTTAAGAAAATGAAAACATTATAAACAAAACAATTGAATAAAACACCAGTGAGCCTCATTACAAACACTGCATGAACATAAACGTATGTAATTAAAACAATCTGTTATATAAAATACATGAAAAAAACGAATAAAACATTAGACAAGCATCACTCTTAAAACAACATGCCAATGCCCATGTTTGCCAGCCACATTGCAAAACAGCTCCTTGTGACAGAGATCACCTGTGGGTTTCCGTTTAACACACGCGTGATGTTGGGTAGATCTAGGGTGCCTTACGGTAGCCTTTAACACACTCTTCCGGGAAGGAGAGCACGTCTGAATATCAGATTTTTTTGTGAACTCAGCCTTCTTAATCAGAGCTACAAGAGGGAGACAAAGAATCAAGGACAGTCACAGCAGCAGTGTGATTCAGGACAATTGGAGATACATGTACAGTCACTCCCATTAAAAGATTATCAATCTTTTATTAAAATAATAATTTAACATAAATGGTATTGGGGGGGGGGGGGGGGGCATGATTGGATGAAGCATGATAAATTAATTTATTTAAATAAAAATGTAACTCATGAAGATTGATTCCACTTTATAAGTAAAAAAAAAAAAAACTCAATACAAAATGTTACATTTGATACATGACATCAATCCAAAGTGGAAATAAACAAAGATTTAAAGAAAAATCCTCATCATAATGGAAAAATTAATACAGGATATACATAATAAACAATGTCACTCAAGCAACAAAAACCTTTTTTCTTCTTTAGCTCCTCTTTCTGGATGGGTACCGGCTCCTTGCGAACAGGTTTACGTTCAGGGGTGGTAATTCGTCCTTTTGCCCTGCCACCTTTAGCCCTCTGTTTGATTGGTTTCTCTGCAGGAGGTTTCTTGACAGGGCTCATCACTCTGGGAAGAGGCTCAATGTTCTCCGTAGCCATGCTCTTATCATCATCTACAGAGTACATGAAGTGAAACAGGCAAGCTACTCTTATACCAGGGTGTAAACATGCATTTACTTGAAATTCAACATGGCTCTCAAGTACAAATTGTATTGCTGTATACAGGCAAGCCAGTTAATTTACACTCTCACAGAAATAATAAAATGACAAATTATATTGCTGTCAGTGATGCGCGGGTTGATCCGAAATGAGCGGGTGCCTGCGGTCATCCGCGGTTACCCGCAGTTACGGGTCATCCAAAAATGTTTTAATGATATTCGGGTCGCGGTCGGTCGGGTCGTTTGAAAAAAGATGCCAATTAAACATTTGTATATAGTACTAGACACAATTTTTGATGAAATATACAGCCCTACACATTATTGGCTGAATAACTGGCACGAAGATAACACACAAGCTCAGTCTAAACAGTTCTCGGTTCTTTATTAGTGATTGGAGAACCGCTGTCCCTGTGCGTTCGGTATACGCAGTATCTATGCGCAGTATCAGCTGCTCGTGCTCATCACTTCTCTCAACAGTGGCACCAACATGTATCGGGTCAGTGAACTGTTGGAGTTACTGGAGTAAAATATAATTCTGGATATTGATTTATTTCGATTCGGAGGCGACTGTCAGAAATGTCTGAAAGTGAGTAACTTTAGTAACTTGTGGATCAGCGCTTCGTTCACGTTCATTCACGAACCGGCCATGTCTACGATCACTACAGTCTGCAGAGAGATGGAGCCGGCAAGAGAAAAGGTGAAGACTGGGGAGTGGAAGCTCCGCAAATACACAAATAGAAAGAGTAAAAGTGTGGGAGACATTTGCTGAAATAATGAAAGATGATGACCAAAGTGCTGGCTTTGCCTTTGTTATGTGTAGGCCTACGTCTTCTTGCGATGCTGTGTTGTTACACGTCTATGGCCCAATAACGCTCCGATGAGCATTTACTACTTTTAAAAAATGCGGCCAGGAAGCAGGTCGGGTACAATGTTTTTTTTACTTTTTTTTGCGGTCCGAGTTGCGGGCGGGTAGCTGAAAACGTCGGTCGGTTGCGGTTTGTTTATACATTGACCCGCGCATCACTGATTGCTGTATATAGGCAAGCCAGTTAAAGGAGTAGTTTTGCTGATAATTTACTCACCCCCATGTCATCCAAGATGTCCATGTCATTCTTTCTTCAGTCGAAAAGAAATTAAGGTTTTTGATGAAAACATTGCAGGGTTTTTCTCCATATAATGGACTTCATTGGGAACCAAATGGTCCAAGGTCCAAAAGACAATTTCAATGCAAACTGTTCAAAGGGCTTTAAACGATTCCAGACGATGAATAAGGGTCTTATCAGGCGAAACGATCGCTCATATACAGTATATAAAAAACCCAAAGTTCAAGTTTTATAAGCTTTTTTTTTACTCGTTTATTAAAATGAACAAACCTTTCCCAAGTCAATTCGTTCATTTCGTTCATTGAATGCGCATTCATGACTCTCCTGTTCGAACTCGTTTATCAAAAAGAAACAAATCTTTTTTCATGTCATTTGGTTCACTCAACGAACGAAATTAACAAATTGACTCGGGAAAAGATTTGTTCATTTTGATGAACGAGTTCGAACAGGAGAGTCACACAGAACAGAGAAAGGGGACCATTTGAGCATATAAAACTTAAACTTTTTTTTTTTAAATGAGCGATCATTGTGCTTGATAAGACCCTTATTAATCATCTGGAATCGTTTAAAGCCCTATGAACAGTTTGCAGTTTGCACTGAAACTGTCTTTTGGGCCTTGAACCGTTTGGTTCCCACTGAAGTGCATTATATGGAGAAAATGCTGGAATGTTTTCATCAAAAACCTTGATTTCTTTTCGACTGAAGAAAGAAAGACATGGACATCTTGGATGACATGGGGTTGAGTCAATTATCAGCAACTTTTTTAAAAAAAGTGAACTACTCCTTTAATTTACGAACGTTTCAAACTACCTCAAAAGATAGATAACAAGTTAACAATTCTGAAATATTCTGTCATTTGCTGAGCAAATTTTAAGGCAAAAGAGATATTAAAATCACACCTTGAGTGTCCACCCAGGAGCTGTCTAAGATGGAGTCATCAATGGTAGTTTCATCTTTGTAGTCGTCGTAGCTTTGAGTTGGGGCCTCACTCTCTGGCACTTCTATCTCTTTAGCAGGACATACAGAAGGCTGAATAGGCTCTGGAACATCTACAACTTCCTCTAATCCGGGAGCCTCCATCTCTACTTCCTGTGCCATTTCCACAGACTCCTCCTCCTCTTCCTCCTCTTGGGGAGCTTTGGATGTTCTTCTTCAGAGGGAGCTGAGAAACGTACACTGTGTCCAGAGACTTCGCTCTCATCGATGGTCTGCACCACCGTGATGAAATCATCTTCTACTGTCACTATTGACTCAATTGCAGCTCGAGCCTCAACGGTGTCTTCTGCAGCTTTGGCCCCATCCAAGACTTCCTCATCTTCCACTTCTTTCTCAACCACTTTTACCTCCTCTTTTTCGACTACAACCTCAATTGGCTCAGTTTTATCAACAACTGGCTTCTCATCCAAGTTTAGATCTGGCTTTGGTTCTGGCATAACCTCTTCAGGCTCCTTAGCAAGCTCAACCTCTTCCTCTACTTCTTGTGTCATTATGGTGTCAACAGAACCCTCATCTGTCTTCGAAGGAGCTGGCTGAGGTTTCTCCTCAGCAACTTTCTCTTTGAGGGGCTCCACTGAGTCCTTCTGCTTTACCTCCTGTTCAGAAGGTCTTTCCTCTCTAAAATATTTCTCAAAAGAGCCAACTGGAGATAATCTATTAGGATCTGTTTGTAGAGCCTCTTTCTTACCAGGTGATCTAGGTTTTTCAAACTCACCAACATGCATTTTCTCCTCATCGGTGGCACTTTCTACAGAAGATGCTGGAGATGGTCTAATGGGCCGAGCAATTCTGTCCTTTGCAGCTCCAGTGAGCTGGTATGCATCCTCTGCATCCACCTCCTCATAGGCTTCCTGGTGCACAAGGTCCGGTTTATTCTTCACCTTCTCCCTGAGTTCCTGGAGTTCCCGCTCCTCCTCTACACTCAGAGGCCGGTCCTCCATCTCCAATTTGCGAATTTGCCTCTCATAGGCAGCAATTTCAGCTTCAGTTTCAGCTGAGAGATTAGTACCTGCATCAAAATCAGACTTTGGTTCCTCAAGAGTAACCGTCACTTTTGGTGTGATGAATGTTTCAGCTTGTTTGTCTAACTGTCCTTTCTCATTATCAGGTAAAGTTGGACTCTTGATTTCTTCCAAAGGTTCAGTCTTCAAAAGATCCGACTCCTCTTGCTTAGACTCTGTAGAAGGTTTTTCAGAAGGTGCACTTTCATTTTCAAAGGGATCTCCATCCCTTGATTTTTCTTTTGCTGGTTCTGCCTGTGGTGAAACAACCTCTGTTGCTTTCAGATCTTCAGTCGATAGACATTCCTGTTTTCCAAGTGTATCAAGACCAGTTTCTTTTTCCTCTGATATCCCTGTTTTGAAGATGTGAGAAGAACAGTCCATTGGACTGTGCACATCTGCAGGGGATGGCATGGGACCAGAGTATTCACTAAAGACACAATATCCTTGCTCCTCTAGCTGCATTTCTCTCTTTGTAACCATCTTGCCCTGGTCACCTTTGAACAAATGCGCTAAGGAATCACTCACCATAGAGGACATGTCCATTGGGACAGACTTCCTCCTCATAATATCGGGTTCTGTGTTGTCAGACGTCAACCTTGATCGGGCACCCGCCAGGTCCAGCATTTCAGGCAGGTCTGGGGCCATGACGGTGCCGTTTTTATAACAGCATTTGGCTTGGACAGGTGATTCTGGAGACTCTGTCTGTGGACTTGTCTTTACATCAGTGATTGTTGCTTGGGGAGGTGAAGATGATGGAGTTGTGACAGAGGCAGTCGTCTCCAAGATCAGTGGCGGAAACTGAGGGATATTATCCACTGAGGGAGTTGTGACAGGAAGGTAATCGGCAGATTCGTCAAGGCTCCCACTAGTATGAGACATTATGTCGGTGGCCAATGGAGAGAAGTTTCTGGGACTTCCTTGGGCATCGCCATGATTCGCTGCCCCAATGGAGATATTCAAAGAGTAACTCCGTTGATCTAGAGCCAGTTTTCCAGGAGACAGTCTGCAGTCATCTCTTCTCTCTGCTGGTAAAGTGTGTAGTGTGTCTGCGCAACTTTCTGGAAGATCTGGCTCGACTTCCAAAGAGTGTGTTTGAGCCAAAGTGCTGTAGCTGATTTCGGGAAATGGCAGGTTACCAGTAGAGTCCTTTTGCTCTTCTGATGTAGTACTCAGCTCATAATACCCTTCTCCTTGAGACCCAGCAGCATCCTTCTTAATTGTAGTGGTCTCAAAATAAGCTGACATGCCAGATTTGTCCTTCAAATCCCCCTCTGTTGCTGTTTTTTCCATTTGTTTGTCTTGAATCTGCTCTGGTTGGACCTCGTGGATATTGCTGGGGTCGCCTGCTTCGGTTGAAGGCTGTTTCACAGCACCACTTTGTGCAACAGGCTTTTCAGTTGGATCTTTGGCATGACCCTGGTAACTTGGAGGCTCTTCAAAATCCTCCATGGGGCATGTTCGAGCAAAGGGGCTTTCTGGCATATCTATGTCTCTGGCAAGGCTCTGGTAAGATGGGAGTTCATCATCTAGATGCATTGCGGAATCAGTGAAGTCCATGCCAATGGGATCTGTCCTCTCGCTTTCTGGCCGCTCTGCTTCCATCTTCACAGCTGAAAGCAAATCTCAAGTAGTCTGCATTGTATTGCATTATTAATAATTCAAAGTACAAGTTTGCCAGGCCAACCACCACAGAGACAGCCAAAGCTGAATGATGAACTTCCATTTTCAAACAGCAGCAGCCGATGATACACACATACCAATTCAGTGATGGAGTGATGGCATGGATATGACAGGATCAGCATGCAAACCCAGAACATTGAATGTTGCGTGGATGAGGTCCAGAAAATGAGGATGAAATATCCAAGGAGGTGGTCCAAACACGATACTGACGTCAGTACACCAGCAGCAAGATGGAATAGCTGATCTTAAAACTTCTGCCAAATACATATTCAGAGATTATGGAAAACGCATTGTGGGTCTGATTTCCAGAAGATAATACAATATTGTTGAAATCTAAAAGATAAGAATGTGCAAGGTACTGTTTAATGAGGCTCATTTTAAAGGGTTAGTTCACCCAAAAATGCAAATTCTTTCAGTATTTACTCACCCTCATGTTGTTCCAAACCTCTATGTGTTTATTTGTTCTGCTGAACACAAAGGAAGATATTTGGAAGAATCTTTTAATCAAACAGATTTCATTCCCATTGACTACGTAGTCAATGGGGAATGAGATCTGTTGATTAAATACTGACAGAAAGTAAATAGACAGTAAATACTGACAGAATTTTCATTTTTGGGTGAACTAACCTTTTAAGCACTAATTGGTATAAATTACAATTATACATGTGGCTGACTGTAATCGTCTTAAAATACCAATCGTGAAATAATACATAGTTTTCATTATTCAGAATTGTTCTACACTTCCTATTATGTTAACCATGTGAAATGACCATGATCATTTGAAGAAAAAAGCAAAATGAAAATTAACAAATAAAATTTGAATCAACAAGCTTGGCTTTTCAAATGCCTTTGAAAATAAAGCATAACACAATATCACAAGTCACAAAAATAGGATTCTCATAGAATCCCAGGTGTTTTGTTGGCGCATGCAGCAAAAATCACCCACAACTGGCAATGTAGCTGGCAAATAAAAAAATTAATGAGCAATGGAAAACAATGAGACAGGTCGACCTGGCAGCAGTAGCATCAATAGAGAAAATAAGCAGAAAGTTCAGAAAAAGCTTCATCAGATAGCTAGC